CCAAGGCTGCCCAAGTGATTTTGTGATGCGCCTCGGGGACCCATGCAACACGCGCTCCAGCAGAAAGCTGAGAGCTTCCCGAGCAGGGGCCGATAGCTTGGGAACAAAAGGCCAGGAGTGAACATGAGAGCTGATGTGCTTCAGAGCATAATGCCCCGCTTTCCCCATGACCTGAGCATTAGCAAAGGAGAGCTTGCCTCTCAACTCAAGACCTTCCTTGTAAGACAACACACCTTCGTCAAGAATGCGAGTCACCAAAGCGCGAATGTCACCTTTGCGTTTGTCTGTGTTATCGACAGTAACCACGCAATCCCCTGTATTCTCCAAGTCAAAGCGAAGGCCCAGTGCAGACACGTGCCTGGAGAACACATCGGCTTTGGGCCCCTCTACGTCAAAGACCCAACCAAGGAGTTGGAACAGCAGCTCCATGGTCGCACCCGTATTGTCGGCCAAACAATCAGGCGAGGCAACAATGAAGTCATCATAGTAAGAGGTGGTGGGCACAAGTAGGCATCGATTGGCAAGCCATTGGATGCACCTGGAACATCTAATGAAGCCGTTCACCGAAGCCCTCGAACCAAAGGGGAGGCAAACCTGAGTGAAAAGCATGGTTTTCTGCCGGTGTGGGTCATACACTGCAATGATCGCAAAGCAACGTGAGCTCAAGGCTACGCACAGCTGACGATAGGCCGCCGTCAGATCGAAAGCACGACCCTTTACCCACGAAGGTTTCTTAGCATCGCGAAGCTTTGTGCACAACCTGACGAACATAGCGGCTGCCACGTCCGCTGTATCCACGGTGGGTTGTTCCAAAGTTGTCACACAAGAGTTGACACCGCTCCTGCTATAATCATCTATGGGACGCAGCTTCCCACTCTGCATCAAGGGGAATCTGTGGGACACTACATGTTCCTGCGGCAAAGAGTCCCACTCGTAAGGTCCTAGAAGCCAACCTGAATCGACCTCCTTCAAGGTTTTCTCCCAAAGCAAGAGGTCCTTCTCCCGATCGCCAGAAGATCCCAAGGAGACCCTGAGAGCTTCATTGGCCCGAGGGGCCGTCGCGCGCAGGTCATCGGGGTGCAAGGAGGCTGGAGTGACCTTCCCGGGCAGGACATTAGAGACAGGCGAAGTGCCCACTAAGTCAAAGCCAGACCAGATATCGCGAGCAAGATTTACATCATCATAGCCCTCGGCTGCGATGATCTCGTCAAGCAACTGCAGACGTTTCTTGCAAAGGACACGCTTCATGTGCGGGTCAGCTATGTCCCACGAAGGGTCTGGGTCACGCTCAATCTCACATGCACGCGAAGTCCACTTGTCGAGCCATTTCCTCCTTTTGTCAACCACGGCGTGCGGCGGAGCCTTAGCAAGCATATCCACACACGATTCAAGATGACCCGGCAGTGAGGAGAGCGAAGAGCTAGGATGGCCTGCTTTCACAGCAGCACGCACAAACTCGCTTTCATCGAAAGGAACACCAAAGGTCGCTTGCTGAGACGGCTGCACAGGGCTGACCACAGGAGTAGTTTCCCCACTCGTGCACGGCCGGGCAATCACAGGTGCTGTTTCCCCACTCTTGCACGGCTGGACCGGTGGGCCCGGCTGGACCGGTGGGCACGCTGCCACCGCACAAGTGACCGGAGATTGCTGCACAGGCTCGACCACAGAAGGTGTCTCTTCCAGCTTGCCGGGGCGAACCTGGGGACACGTCGCTGTAGCAGCAGTGATTGGCGAAGGGTGACCAGGCAAAGGAAAGCCCAAGTCCCGTAGGACCTGCACATCATCTTTCTTCAAAGAGGCAACCCGATTCGGAGTAAACCCGATCAACACGACTCTAGAACCCTCCCAAGGTAAAGTGCAGTGGAAGCGCTGCGCATCGAACTCCACGGGGTTGTCAGATACTTGCAGGACACGACCAGCAGCCTTCCCAAGCGGTGTGGCTCGTACATGCTGACCCTCATCATCCTGTACCCAAATGCCCCCTTTAGCAAAGTCAGTCAAGGCCATCACGTAATTCGAGCTTCCATCCAAGTTATTGGCATCCCGATGCATCGGAGTGCACACGTTGGAGTATATCGCTACTGTGGCAAACGTGGCATGCGGAAAGCGAGTACGAAGGAGCCGTACGGCCAATCGAACAGCAACTGGAAACAACCTGGTGTTTTTACGCAAGCCACACAGAGTGCCCTGGGAGTATGCACCAGCAGACCAGGCCTTCTCCCGCGCGTCACTGACTCCCCTGGCTGGAACCTCGGCGGGCAGCAAATCAAAGACCTGCAGCAGTTGCGCTTGCGTAGGGACGTCACACATGTTCGCTGCCACTACTTCAGCTTCGCTGGACACAGTGAAAACGGGCGCACTGCTACCTGGAACAGGCAAAGCTAAACCAGAAGGAGAAGGCGAACCAACCGCTAAACCCGAAGGGGAAGGAAGAGCCGGCGGGGAAACCCTAGAGGAGGATGTCGCCAACATGACATCTGCTGTTGCTGCAGCAGGAGGCTTCCCGCTGGAAGCACACAATGTCTTGGAAGATTCGTCACCGCTGACTGGCACACCTACCCCCTTAGAAGACACAGCAGCGGCGACTGAAAGAGGTGGGAGCAGCTGGGCACCAGCAGGCACGACAACATCTTGCACACACAAAGGCTGAGTAAGCCTGCGCTTGTTGTCCAAGGTCGGCAGCGTGCTCAAGGGCACACTAACAAAGTACTTGAACTCCGGCACCGGTGCAAGCAAAGGTTTGCGAGGCTGCTTACCAGTGCCGACCTGAGCTGCAAACAAAGGTGGCAGACCTGAAGTATCGACAGCAAGGTGTTTGATCATGACAACAGCCAAAGCACGGTACATGCGTCCCATAGCTGCATCCAAACTGGCTTTGGCCAGAGCGGGCTGCAATACAGGCGGTGCAACGTCAGCCAAAGCTTGAGGGCATGAAGATGCAAACAAAATGTGACCGCGTACCCCTGGGGCAAAGCGGCTCAAGTCGACATCAATCGCAGAAGAAGAAATCTGAAGACCCAGCGGAGTCTTCCAAAAGTGCGAGCGGGATGGAGCCTCGATGGTCCACATGGTATCCGTATCAGCACAATGCTTGATGAGCTGAGTAAAACTATGAATGCACCGTTCCACTTCAGTCGAATTCGACAGCTTACTAGAAAATACGGAAGCAGGGCATCGGATGTGAATCCAGGCACAAGTGGGCTCACGAACCCACGATGCACACAATGCAAAGCCTCCGGGGGACAAAATGTCAATGGGAACTACAGGCGCAGCAGAAGCTTGAGAGCACCCTCTGCCAATTGCAAAAGAGCTTGGTAACACCGTTCGGAGACAACCACACAAGCTGGCACGCCTAGCAAAAATTTCAACGCAGAAAATTCTACCGCTCTCACGCGGCACATGATCCATAACATGCCTCGTACAGTGCACAGGCGATTCCTGACTCTCAGGCACAGCACATGCAATCACATCGCCCGTGCACGTTCCCTGTCACTCCGTGCTGGTTGCGGAGTCATGTTCGCTCATAGGGTGCGGCTTGTAACATCCAGGCTTGCAGCATACATGCTTGAACTTGCATTTCGCACCAGCCTTGCACTTGCCCAAGTTGAAATTGAAACAGATCGGCTTGTTATCTGGCGTCCTCGAGTGCATTCCCTTAAGGACCTCGGGGATCGGGTCGCGAGTGATCTTGGCCTTCTTGTTCGGGCTCTCATCGTCATTCGTGGTCTTAGTGCGCTTACGACCCTTGCCCTCCTTATCAGCCTTTCCCGAACCCTTCCCCCGGCCTTTCACAGGCAGCAAGAAGTACATGACAGTCGTGTTAAACTCAAGCTTCTCAAACTCCTTATCAAGGGGCAGGGCACCGTCGGGACCTGGTTTCAAGTTGCCGTTGCACACACGAGCAAGCTCCAAGAAACACTGTCTGTCGGCCCGCAGCACTTGCGCACGGGAGACGCGCTGGAACTCGGGAGGCGGGTCTTGGCTCATGATGCGGAAAAGGCGCTCGTTCCATTTTTGCACACATGCATAAGATGCAAGGCCCACCAAGTCCATGGCTAAGGCACGCCTCATCATTGCCTGGTACAGGGCCAAGTCGCTATCAAGCGTGATGGCAGCTGTCGCCTCCGTATCTTTCACGATCAACCCCGTCTTATTTGCGTCTAGCTGCAAGGCCTTGGGGGGTTTCTCAGAACAAAGCTCCGAATCACGAGTGATGCATTCGTTGGGGGCCAGATACTTCAACTCATCATTCTCACGCATGGTTGCAAACTTGTCATACACACAATGGGCGACGGCAAGTGGGCCCTCCAACGGCAAACCTGAGAGGCGCCGTTTCTGAGCTTCAATGCGCATGGAGCGTTCTGATGCTGGCAATTTCCTCGGCACTTCTTCTGTAGCCTGCATGGACGATCTCAGCTCGGCCACCGTCATGGTTTGGGATTCAAAGATAAGCTGCTTCAAAGCAGAGTTATCTCCTAAGGTGATGTTGGCCCCCGGCCGAAGGGCTAGGACGAAGGCATCCATGTCATCACTCGAAGGCTGGTTCCCCGGAAGCGTGACAGCATAACTAAGCTTCCCTAGGGTCGTGATTCCCGCAGCTTTCAATGCAGCAACCCACGGAGCTGACAAACCTGCCCGCTCACACTGCCTGTCAAGAGCAGCTGTGGAGGTCAGGACCGAAAGTGCGGCCATGCTGTCTCAGAGGCGGAAGCTTAGCACCTACGCATGAAACAACGTCTCACACGACGAAGCGAATCAAGGCCTACCCTGCAGAAGAGTTACCGATCAAGTCAAACATGAAACATGTGGATTGCATACCTGATCGAAGTCACTTCAGCCAAAGCGCACACGCATGGCGATACGAAATCACTACAAGGGCATTCCCTTGGATGCGCACACGCAATCTCAAGATGCAACACCGCATTCAGAACAAGAGCACTCTCCTCATGCACACCAAAACTGCACTCAGCGGAATGCACACCGATTCACACGAGAGAATTTTACTCGCCGCCATTGCGGTTCATAAGCTCATCAAGCCGCTCATTGAGCGCCTGTGTGGAATCTAGCAGCTCACCTTTCCAACAAACTGCACACCTGGGCCACTTGAAGTAGGACCCATCAAGCCACCTGTACACATTGGCCGTGCGCCTCCCGCACCTTGTTTTGCAAGCCATCTGCACCCCTTGAGGGCGATGTAACATTTTCGACTTGATGTGTTGCCAGCATGGCTCCTTGATCTCGTACGACTGGCACACTCCACTCGCTGTGATAGTCTGCTCCTCCGTCTCGCTGGCTTCGGAAGAACAAGAGCTCGACGAAGAATCCGACGAATCGGACCCATAGCTCTCCACATCCGTGTCTCGAACACCAGCCCCAAACAATTCAGGAAAAAGCATTTCGCTCCCAGATCCAGGATCCTGCTCTCCCACAGTGTTCGTCGGCTGCTCCACACGATGCCAGGAGCCCTCGTCACGATCGCACTCACTTGCCTGCGAGGCTTCGAGCAGATCTGAAGGCACATTATTCGTGTGATAATGTTCAAGTTCACCCGGCACTTCTGGGTGTCCCACTTCGCTTGGCTCATGCTGTGGCCGGACACCTATGCCAAAGGCGCCACCCGAACTCCCAAGATGAACGCTTGCAAATTCCCCGATCGTGGGTAGCAGAGGCTCCTTTGCAAGCCATCCTGACCGGGTCTTGTCTGGCCTGAAGACATTTGTCCTGATTTCCTCAAGCATTGCCCTGTACGCGCGTAGGGGCGCGCTCAAGAGCTCTCGGCTATAGCATGCCAGCGAGCCTGAACCTGGAGCATGGTGACCAAGAAGTAAGCCGTCTCGCTCTCCGAAGCCACGCTTGCCAACCCAAGCCAAAGTTGTACCCTTCAAGACATGCGACGTGCGCCGCTGCTCGCCATCCAGATCCAAAGCATTGCACAACATGTGACCGGCTTCGCCCGAAGTGCACCGTCTCTTGCACAGCTGCCCTTCGGCATTTGGTGCACGGATCAAAGGTCCAAAGGGATCTTCGTCCCACCGCACACCCAGCCTAAGCCCAGCACTCCACCAGGCTCGCACCCAATTGGCATCAGTAACTCCAGGGAACGGAGCTACCAGAGGCATCGCCCGCCTCTTCGTCTTCGAAGTGTTGCTTGTCTTGTGATCACGTGTCCTGGCTTCTACAAAGCCAGACAACTGGTCCTCGCCCTCGAAGTCAACCCATATGCACTGCAGATTTCTAAGATCGGACCACCTCGATCGGCTGTACAGGCAGAAGACAAGCCCGCCCAGCACGTAAGTGTCTGCATCGCACAGAGTGAGGCTGGCTACAAGCTTCTCCAGTTTGGCAACACACTCCACACTGAGGGGAACCTGCTGCCTCACCTCTGCCCGGTCGCCCTCGAGTCTCTTGGCACGGCCCTGCAACCTGCGGTCCTCAAGGATCTCTTTGCAAAAGGGCATGCCCATGACATGATGTGCGAAGTTCATGGCTTCGAAGAGACTTGTCACTGCACTTGCCGATGTACCAAGAGACTTGACGAAGTCGGTAAATGAGTCGCAGTCCCAAGGCCATGCAGTCTGCTTTTCTCTAAGATGCCACCTCAGACACCTAAGCAAGGAGTTGGCCCGCTTAATGGCAGTCCTAGGGGATTTAATGCCAAAGACATCCCGGATCAACTCATCCCTGGCCGACTCACCCTCTGCAATCAAGCACTGAGCAGCTTGCTCACCAACCTGTCCAGGATCGCTCTGCGCCAAGCTAAAGATGCAACACCACTTATTGATCGCTAAGACCCAAAGGTGATCTTCCTCAGCATGAGTAGAAACATCAGCCCGAGCAGAAAAGGACTTCTCGAACAACGTGCACGGGGCAGGCCTGACACGAATGCACGGCCCATCCTCGGGGGCCGGGGCAGCAGAGTCCTCTATTGCAGGAGGGCAGGGCTGCCGCACAACAGGCTGCTCCAAGACACCATTGCCAAAAATGCACGACATAATCCCAGACTCCCACGGCAGCCTGGGCAAAGTATCCACAATGCCACTGGTGCGTGCATGCAAAATCAAGCGGTCGATGTCTGTGTCATCAACAACACTGTCCTGTGACATGATGAGAGGCTAAGCAAACACACCCCCTTGGAAGCTAGCCAAAAAGAAGGATCAGTCAGAAATGAAGCGTTGGCAGGCCTGTTGGGCCCTTTGCATCCACTGCTCGATCCAAGCAAAACGCACGTCGGATTGCCTGTGGGACTCCTGCAATTGCCGAACCTGGTCCTGCACAATCACTAGCTGGGCACTCAAGGCGTTGATTTCTAACTGAAGGTCCCAGACGTGTTGAGAAAGCACCTCGTAGCTGCTTGTGCTGGAGGCAGCACTAGAAGCGGAATCCGCTTCTTCCATCTGCCGCCCTCCCAGTGGAGGGGGCGTGCACGGACTAAAAACGTCGAATCAAAATTGTTCTCACGGCTGCACACAGCCCAAATGCTTGAGCCAAAATGGCTTCAAAATTGTTCTCACGGCTGCACACAGCCCAAATGCTACAGAGAACAAGGAATCGCATGAGCAAACACATGCCGAACAAAGTGGTGCAATCACTCAAACCTGCAATTCGAAATCGCACAAGGTAAAAACCGCAGCACTGCAAATCAGAAATTCGTTTGGGAAATAAAATGCTGTCTCGCAAGCGAGAAGGCTTATTTTCTAACCTTGACCTGTGGTTGAGTCCCTCTGACAAAGATTGGCACAGCCCTTTGGGCTTCACGATACAACCAATCCTTACAAAAGGGAAACACAACCGGTCAGATGCCCAGGTTCAGAAGATCGCTGACAAGCGACAGGCTTACAAGCAGCGTAATGCTGAATACTGGGATTACAAAGACTCATTTATGTATTCATCTGGCAACAGCTGGTACGACAGACAGCAACCACAAGGTAGCTATCACAGATATGGAAGATTCTGGGAAAGGCCACAGCCTGAACGTCCCAGCGAGCCTGAAGGCTCTCCTCCAAGAAGGAGCCAGGCATCATCGTCCTCTTCACAACAAGATCTACCAAGATCGAGATCCAGACCTCAGAGAGCCAGTCTTGTTGACAAGCTCAACATGTCTTTAGAGGAACTGGACACACTTGAGGAACAACAAGAGGAAGAACATTTGATCCGTGAGATGGAGAGTGTTATTGAAGAGCACGAACGAGAAACATCAAACCTGATGTCGGCTCAAAGAGATGAAGACGAACAGGAGGAAGAATCTTCCAGTCGCAGAAGAAGAAGGAAGTCATCGCGACCGCCGTCTGCTCCGAGCAGCAAGGCACTCCGAACAGCTGCCACAGCAGCAGGGTTGTCGAACTGGTTCGGACACCCTAATCAAGGCGGTGCAAAGGGAGAGTCTATCAAGACTGATGAACCTTCACTTCCAAACTCACTAACCAGTGAGCAAGACTTCTCCGTCTTCAGCATCGCGTGGAATGTGTTTCTGCTGCTAATGGGCCTACACTGGATGTGGAAGCAGCTCACCAGGGCTCCCATCAGATGTATGGACCGCCAACAATCAAATGCAAAAGCAGCAGCGAAACGACCACCACCATTTCTCGAACCCGAGAATGAACCACAGACGCGTGAACCTTTAGGACCCAACAGGGTCAATTCTGGAGAAACAACGGATTTGCGACCTGTGTGGCACACTTCCCGAAGCGAAGTCTACCATCTTTCAGACAGCTGTTACCAGCTCAAGCAAGCAAAAGATGTTTCAAGGAAGGTGCTGTGTAAAACCTGCCTCCAGGCAGTACAAGTTGCGGAGATTCGCAGGAACGATCCTTTTCAAAGAGGTGATACACGATCACGTGGCACCGAAAGGGACATTGAACGGTTTCAAACCTATGACGATGCAAGTACTACTCCTCATATGAGGCAATTATTCAGTGATGCATTGCATTCACAAATGGCCGAAGAAGCCATGCAGATTACCTATACATCAATCCCTAAGGGATCCTCGGCAAGAGCCAGAGGTACATCTGCACTCGCAAGTGCCTCATCGTCGTCAGTGCCCAAGGCAATGCCACCAGTGCCTAACAAGGCAAACATGTCACCTCCACCTAAGACTCCTCCGCCAAAGGCGAAAGGAACAGTACCTTCAGATCCTCCGAGACCAAAAGGTCCTACCAGAAGAGGAGGTCAAAATCGGCGCATTCAACGAAAAGCAGCTAGAGAAGCCCATAACAGTGGACTCTGCAACCATGCAGACGCTGCACTTGGCGAAGCCAATCAAGGCCAGGCCATTAACACTATGTGCCGAAACATGGCAGTAAGACACGTCAGCTCTATCGATGCAACGGTAGAAGCAGCCGAGCAGTTTACACAACGCGTGCAACAGCACGTAGAAACATATGATGAAGAGGAACCGTGGAGCACGGAGTTTCTACCAGTCGTGGAAGTCCTATTCAGGAACTTGAGCAGCGACGAAACAACTGTCATACATGACAATCATACGGTAACTATGCCTATTGAGAAATATCTCGACCTCCTCAGAATCGCACAATCATTGCGAAACTCTATCCAGAGAGACAAGGAGGAAAGAAAGGATCATCTTGACACCATCCAAGATACTCTATCCAGAGTGGAAATCCTTCTAACAGCACTGAAGGACTCAAAAACAGTCTTCAATCAATTGGTCCATTCCTCACTAGAGATAGAGCGAAGACATAAAAACCTCAAAAATGTCCTTGAGACACTTTTTGACGACCAAAGCTCTGAGGAAGACCAGTCAGAATCTGACCATGAAGAAGTCCTAACTCCTTCTGCAGCACAGTACTGGAACAGCCTTCATGCCCACGCCTTATCTCCCTCAGGAGATGAAAGTGAAAGATCATGGGCGTCCTCAGACGGACAGCTTGAAAGAAGAAGGGCCGAACGGGCAAAGGCTAAGCAGCCACAACCGGCTAAAGCCGAGGCAACTCCAATCAGCTCACAAGCTGCACCAAAGGCCGAGCCAAAGGCGACTACATCCAACCATGGATATGACACTGCAGACGCCGCCTTCACCAGGGCTGAGAACAGATTACTCGGAATCTTTTCAAGTTCCGAAGAAGATCACTCAGACCCGGATGAACCACATCCGAACGTCTATGCTCGAGCCTATGATCCAAACCTGGATCCAAATCTGAGATAAGGAAAATTCTCAGAGTTTCACAACAGTGACTCACAAAGCTCTAACAAGAGCACAGTGAAGGGCTGCATAATTCGATAGAAGAACATTACCAGACCTGATCTTGTACAGACGATCTCTCTGACCAATGTGCATGAAAGAGTTCAAAAGGAGTGATTTCAAGAGTGACTTCAACAGTGTACTTCAGTGCTATACCTAGCATAAACAATATGCTGTTTTTATCATGAGTCCAAACTCCGCAACTGTGACAGTGGGCATAATAGTATATGTGTGAATGTGCGGCCATGCTTCCGGTAAAAGAAAATTAGTGTCTGTTTGTTTGCGTAAACCTCTAAAGGGGTAGCTCTAACAGGTACCTACAGCAATGGCTGCATGCTCATACATATACATTCCGCTGCCCATTGGCTCACAGTGGTTTTACCATATTGAGACAAGACAAGCTCTCCTTGCGTAGCAAGACAAAACAACTACTGTCCGTGTGCAGGGCGCTGCCCTTTGATCCTTAGGGAATAAACTGGTCATACACCTCCTAACAAGGAGCATTTCCTTGTGGGTGTATCGGCTCACCCCCCCCCTTAGGGGAGACCCCTTTAAAGGGGGCTTTGAAGGGGCTTAAAGGGTGGCTTAAAGGGGGGCTTAAGCCCCCCTTTGTCAAAGGGAGTGGCACGGTTGCACGAGCGTACGTCCAGGTGGGTGGGAAAAGGCGAATGCGAGCTTTATCTTTCGGCAACATTATGCACGATCCGCGGGGTCGCCCGACAGCCCCATAACTGTGCAGCTTTGAGATCGTACAAAGATAGAGGAATTTTTGCAGAGGTGACTCTAGCATTTCTGAACAGAGCAGATCAAGCCATGCAGAGTTATGTTTCGAGAAGGTCGGCCGGAACAAGATTACCCTTCCAGCGGAATTTTCTGGAAGATATCTCCAGATCTGGACTTCTTGAGCTGTGCAAAGTTATGGTATGGCTGACAGTTCGGAATTTGTCCACGGTGCTTAACTCCAAAAACTCTCTCATGCACGACATGGGCTCACCTGGCTCTCGCCAGATTTTTTTCCCTTGCAGCTTCTGTTGCGAGCGGCGATGTTGTTGCTGCCGTGCTGAAGCGCAAGACCTCCGAAGGCAAGCTTGTCACAGTGGAATGCAAACCATCCAAGACTCCGATTGCACGATGGAACTGACTCAAACAGAGAAAAACTGAAGGAGTGCAACCTCCGGTGCGATAGCGAAAAAGTTCGGACGGTTTCTTTTGAGGGAACGAAACAGCAAGTCTGGCAACAGCAAAATGTAACCAGAAGCAAGGCAGAGGCAAGGAATGTTGCAAATGGGTCTCTGATAAAAAAGCAAAAAGGCATGCCAGCAACCAAAACCTTTGCTCATCAAATTCCGCATTTCCGTGCAACACAGACTCGTGCCGCCTCCGCGCAACACAGCCGTGGTGGTTTTTTGAAGTCAGGAAACATGCGGACGAGGATTCTGCTTTTGAAAAAGTGTTTTTCAGTCTGCCTTCTGTTGAAGTGCTTTCTATTCAAATTAGTGACCGCACTCTTTCGGCTCAAGAAAAAGATCAAGTGCTGCACGCTCTGGTAGCGGACTCTTGAGAAGCTGCCACAGCCTCACCTGTGCAAGGTTGGAGTTGAGAGTTCTCCCAGACCGTACCTGTGCCTGAGAAAGACCAGGACTTTGACTTATTTGGACCAAATCCTGTTTGTCCTCTGAGCCCGCCTGCAGTTCAAAGCTGGAAGTGTTCTCGCTGAGTCTCGCCTGTTCGGCCACCAGTGCCGCGGACGTCCACTTGGGGTGCGAACCAACTGCAACACACGTGGCTCCAAATGTGGCTGAATGGGCCCACCGCCCTTCGGCGAAGGGGGGCTTGAAGGCCCCCTTCAAGACCCCCTTGAAGGGGGCTTGAAGGGCGTGACCCTTCACGGTCCCTTCAAGGGGGTCT